GCTTGAAGCCTGCTGTGCACCAGGAGCCAGAGCTTTGGAAGGGTCCTCTGTAAAGCCAGCACGCCCTTGTGACCTTTACTAGGTCAGACACGACAGTCCTGTGGCCCAGGACACATGACCGTCCCCTGTTGCCCTGTGACTGCTGGCTCCTCCACTCCCCAGCCCCACCCCCACCCCCATAGGGCTCTGCTCTGTAACCTGGTGAAGGAGGCTGGGGGCTGAACCTGAGGGTTTGGCAAAGAGACAGGTGATGTTTGAGAAAAGGTGGAGGGGGCGCTCCCGTGGACCCAGCATGGTCTCTCCGTTTCTGGATTTCCTGGGCTGATCCCCTCCCCCAACTTCCCTTCGGAGGGACCTATTTTTCTCTTTAGGCATGTTAATACCTTTCATGAGGTTAGGCCTGAGTACCTTTCTTTCCTTAACTTGACCTTAGGACTTGTCTGCAAAGTCCCAGCATTTTGAGCGCTCAGGAAGCACCTCCATGCACTTTCTGAAAATCTAGAAAGTTCCCAAAGTGAAGTACAGATTGTTATCCTCTTCTTTGAGTGTTTCCTGGCCATTTTTCTTTTTTCCATAACAACAGTGTAAACTAAATTACCATGTTCTGCTCTTCCTTGGCAGAACAGCATTGAAAAAAAAAAAGTTCAAATCTTGGCCAGCATGAATGAAACATGGTCCTCTATCAGCAGTATATACTCGAAACAGGGCCAAGAATTAAGCTAAAGGACTTTTGGAGGAACCAAGTTAGATGTAAAAACAAACACAACAGAAATAACACACTGTTACTCATGGTGAAGTTACTCAAGCAATCACTCCCCAGTTTATTTACTTTCGTACCATATACATCTGACCCTTGAACAGTGCGGGTCCACTTTACATGTGGATTTTTTTTTTTCAGCAAGGGCAGTACTGTAAATGTATTTTGTCTTCCTTATGACTTTCTAAATAAATTTTCCCTAACTTCCTTTATCGGAAGAATACAGCCTGTAATACATATAACATGCAAACTATGTGTTAATTAACATGTATGTGATCAGTAAAGCTTCACAGTAGGCTATTAGCTGTTAAGTTTTGGTGGAGTCAAAAGTTATTCTTCCTGTATAAATGAATGAACATTAGAGAAACTTATAGTAGAATTAGGAGAGAAACTGTGGTAATCGTATCAATATGTTAACAAACAAAATTTAGTAGGTGGGCGCCTAGATGGCTCAGTCGGTTAAACGTCCGACTGAGGTCATGATCTCACAGTTTGTGGGTTCGAGCCCCGCGTCGGGCTCTGTGCTGACAGCTCGGAGCCTGGAGCCTCCTTTGGATTCTGTGTCTCCCCCTCTCTCTGCCCCTTCCTTGATCGCGCTCTGGCTCTCACAAAAATAAATAAACATTAAATATTTTTTTAAAAAACACACACAAAAAAACAAAGAAAATTTAGGGGTGCCTGGGTGCCTCAGTCGGTTGGTTAAGCGTCCAGTTTCAGCTCAAGTTATTATCTTATAGTTCGTGAGTTGAGGCCCCACATCAGGCTCTCTGCTATCAGCACGGAGCCCACTTGAGATCCTCTGTCCCCCCGCCCCTCCCCCGCTTGCACGTGTGTGTGTGTGTGTGTGTGTGTGTGTGTGTGTGTGCTCTCCTAAAAATAAATAAACGTTAAAAAAATTTTTAAATAAGGGCGCCTGGGTGGCTTAGTCGATTAAGCGTCCGACTTTCACTTAGGTCATGATCTCGCGGTTCGTGGGTTCGAGCCCCGCGTCAGGCTCTGTGCTGACTGCAAGCTCAGAGCCTGGAGCCTGTTTCAGAGTCTGTGACTCCCTCTCTCTCTGACCCTCCCCTGCTCACGCTGTCTCTCTCTTTCCTAGAAATAAATTTAAAAAATTAAAAAAAATTTTTTTTAAATCTAAACATTATAAAAACAAAATTTACTATCATATTTTAATAATAACAGTTAATAGTTTAGTGTTCTGTATGTGCTAGGCACTCTTGGAGCCTTTAGATTGTTTAATCTCATTTAATCATGATTTTATGCTAGAAATACTGTCATTATCTACTGTTTTGCATTTGAAGAAACTGAGGCAGAGAATGCCTATTGTTACTAGCTTATCGATGAGTTGACAAAGGCCAGGATTCAAAGCTGGTTCTCTCTCTACTCCTCATCACTGATTTGTACCGCTTCCTGGTTCTGTGACCATAAAGAAGGGTTAGAAAATCATGTGAGGCAGACCAGAGGGCTCCAACACACTGTAGTCTTCAGGCCAAAGCCTTCTTGGTTTGGAAAGAACAAGCTTTCAAGTCTCAATGAATTCTGAGAATTTTATTTGATGAGAACACAATAGAGAGGTTCACAGTGAAAACCTGAGTCATCAGAACGCGTTCTTTTGTTTGACTTAGAAGCTGGATCTTGAGGGGGAGTAGGAGGTAACCCGGGGAGGTGGTGGGGCGGGGAGAGCAGGTTCTAGTCCGTCTCCCTGCATTGGGGTCCGGGAGGCTGGAGGCCAGGCTGACCGTGCTGCCGTCTGCCCTCGCAGCTGCCAGAGCTTCGAACACTGGCTCTAAACAGCTCCTCTCCAGGAAGGATAGCGCTCCCGGGAAATTCATCCGAATCTGTTTGTAATACAATCCTTCACGCCCTGTTTTTAGAGAGAGTTGATTTTTGAAGATGAGAGGTCGTCCTTGGAAAGCTTGAAAATGGTTTCTTTTACAAAAAGGAGACCTTGGAGGAGGCGCCCGGGTGGCTCAGTCGGTTAAGCATCCGACTCTTGACTTCGGCTCAGGACATGATCTCACGGTTCGTGCTATCGAGCCCCGTGTTGGGCTCTGCGCAACAGTGCAGAGCTTGCTTGGCATTATCTCCTTCTCTGCCTCTCTCTTGCTCATACTATCTCTCTCTCTCTCTCATTAAAAAATAAAGGAGACTGGGGCGCCTGGGTGGCTCAGTCAGTTAGGCATCTGACATCAGCTCGGGTCGTGATCTCAAGGTTTGTGAGTTTGAGCCCCGTGTCAGGCTCTGTGCTGACAGCTTGGAGCCTGGAGCCTGCTTTGGATTCTGTGTCTCCCTCCGTGTCTGCACCTCCCCTGCTCACTCTCTCTCTCAAAAATGAATAAACATTAAACAATAAATATATATTTTTTAAAAAAAGAACCCAGGATGTACTTGGGCAGAATTGAGACTTGGGCTCTGGCAGTCTGGCTCCAGGCCGGCCGTCTCGATGTGCACAGCGGCTACAGTGATGGATTTTCTGTTGCAGCATCCAGCCACATACCTTTATACCTGAAACAGATTTCACAGAACAGAGCTGACCCTTGAGGTGGGCAGTGTACTCTGGTTCTTTCTCATGCTGGTTCCCTCCTTATTCCCTCCTTCTTTTTTAATTTATTCCTTATCACAACGTCCCAATTGAAAAACAGGTGCAATATTGCTGTCCAGTGGCTGTTCATTCATCAGGTTTCCACTAGGTGCCTCCAGTGTGTTCTCATGCTGTGCAGGCACCTGGGATATGACGGTGAAGAGAGCAGATAGGGTCTCTGCCTGCCTAGAACTTATACCCAGGAGGTAGGATTTTTTGTTTGTTTGTTTTTTAATGGATTTATTTTGAGAGAGAAAGAACATGAGCTGGGAAGGGCAGAGAGAAAGAGGGAAGGGAGAGAATCCCAACAGGCTCAGCGCTGTAAGCACAGAGCCTGGCACGGGGCTCGAGCTCACGAACTGTGAGATAATGACCTGAGCCAAAATCAAGAGCCGGATGCCTAACAGACTGAGCCACCCAGGTGCCCCTATGGCCAGAAGGTTTAACCCATTAAATGCAATGGTTAAAAAAATGTTACCATATATGGAGATGTTATATGTTCCCAAATCTAGGAAGAGATCTATTAGGTACCAAGCTTGTATTACTTGGTAAATGTATAACTATTTTGCAACATTATTTAAAGGACCAGAGACAGACTATATAGATAGACTGTAGACATACTGTGAAACATTGAAAGTAATGACTGCATTGTAGATATCAGTGTGGATGCATCTCAAAACCATGGTTAAGAAGTTTTGCAGCAGTGTAACAGGTAAGGTATTATACAGGACAAAGGCATATTGCCATAATACACAATAAAGTATAACACTGTATGCTACAAAACCATAATCTAGTATCATAGGACTTGTATAAAAATTTTAAGGCAGAACTATGTACATACTACTATGTATTATGGGCACATTCGTATATAGTAAGACGGAAAAACCATTCGGAACGAGCGCACTCCAATTTTAGGATAATGCGATTTACTCTCTGGGGTGGCAGAGAGGGCTGGGGCTTCACTAAATCTTGCTAAAGCAAAAATATTTAGCAAACGTGGCAAAGTTCAGTCATCATTAAGTCTGTTTGGGCACATGGTTATCTTGTCATATTGGGGGCTTTTTTGTGCATTCGAAATGTTTAATGATGAAGCACTGCAAAGGTAAAATGAGTGCCTGCCCCGTGCCTCTTTTCTGCGCCTGGTGCACATGCACGTTCGTGTTCTGTGCCTGCTGCGGGTGTTCTCCATCACATTAATGTATTTCCCCAAAGAAACACCATGACCGCAGGTACTTTCTGGGGTTTGGAGTTGGCAGGGCAATCTGCCCGGTCCCGGGGGCATTGTTCCCAGCTCACCAGCAGAGGACGCTGTTCCACAGCCGATGTGGGAGGCTGGCTCTTCTGGTGCAGTACCAGGGCCTCCCAGGGAAGCGCTGTTCCACCAGCTGCAGGACAGAAGGGCCCTTGGGTACTGCAGCTTTCCTTATGCCTGTAGGAAGGGACACAGCCTCCCCCCCCCGCCCCACCGCCATTTGGCCTTTTGCAGACATCTTATTTCTCTACATTTATAGCCTTGGCTGTTTCTGAGGCCAAGAATAGAGAAGCGATGTCAGGGGCAGCACATGCCCAGAGCTCCCCTTGCTGTGCGTGGATGAGCCTGAGGCTGACGTGCAGGGATCTTTTTCCCATTACGCTGACCGCGAAACCCTCCTTTCGTTCTAGGTGGAAAAGGAGTATTCTTACTTGAAGGAGATATGTGATTGTCAGGCAGAGCAGCTGAGCAGAACCAGCCTGAAACTGCAAGAGAAAGCGTCCGAGAGCGATGCGGAGATTAAAGACATGAAGGAAACCATATTTGAACTGGAAGATCAGGTGGAACAGCATCGGGCCGTCAAGCTCCATAACAACCAGCTCATCAGTGAGCTAGAAAGTGAGTGAGATCACGCCCTGGTCACGGGCAGACCAGGAGCAGGCAGGATGTGAGTGCCGGGGAGGGCCCCTGAGAATTATGTTTTGAAAAGACTTCCTCGCGTGTTGTCTGTGGTCCCTTAGGAAGAATGGCAGCCAAGAAAGACAGAGTCTTTCACCCTTTTAACTGGAAAAAAAGAAACAGTCGTCGAACGTTGAGTCAACAGCGTGGGGTGATTGTAAACCAGAGCAGACCCGTTCTGGAGTGCTAGGGATACTGTGTGGGGGCCGCACCGCTGACCGCACTCATCAGGCACTGACACAGCATTGTCTTTCGGGTCTGATGGATGGGAAGGTGCGTGACAGATGGGCACATGGGTTTGAACAGTGTGTGCAGTTAGGCTCGGGGGGGAAAACAGTTCTAGCATGTGTCCCATTGAAGTCAGGATATCAGGTAACTTGTAGATGTTGGCCACTTTGTTACTGAAGAGGCTCTCCAATATATGGCTTCTTTATGCACTCATTGTTTGCTCTGAATAGGGAAAGACTTTAAAAGGGGTTAGTTAAACATCGCCTGCCTTGTCCAAATAAGCTTTATCAAAATGATCACATCTAGTGTTTTTTTTTAAATTTTTTAAATGTTTATTTTTGAGAGAGACAGTGTGAGCAGGAGAGGGACAGAGACAGAGGGAGACACAGAATCTAAAGGAAGCTCCAGGCTCTGAGCTGTCAGTCAGCATAGAGCCCAATGCGGGGCTCGAACTCACGGACCGCAAGACCATGCCCTGAGCCGAAGTAGGATGCTGAACCGACTCTGCCACCCCGGCGCCCTCTAGTGTATTTTGCTTTTGGGACAAGAGAACTAATGCACAGAGCTTTTTGTGACACTGGCCATTGCTAACAACGTTGCCAGCCACAGCTGCTTGCCTGCAAAGTTCCCCGACGCAGTCCATACAGTCCATTCTCATTATTCGTGGAGTCTGTATATAGGAATTTATCTGCTTGCCAAAGTCTCTAACCCCAGACTCAATGTACAAGGCGCTCTTCTCTGTCATTCAGAGACATGCGTAAGATGAAAAGACATGAGTGGTGAGAAATGTTAGTCTCCCAAAGAGCATTTTCAGCTCAGCTTGAACAAGGTGACCCGGCCACCTTCTTGTCTCAGCTCTTCTACCACCAGGAAACCTCTTTTGTGGTTTTTCAGTGCCTTTTTTTTTTTTTTTTTTTTTTTTTTTTTTTTCACTCTTGAGAGCGGCCCCGAAGTGTAGTCCCGAAATGCCCTCCAGGGTCCCTGCAGCAAGAAGGCTGTGANTTTTTGTGCTTTTTGTTGGTGATTTCACTCTTGAGAGCGGCCCCGAAGTGTAGTCCCGAAATGCCCTCCAGGGTCCCTGCAGCAAGAAGGCTGTGATGTGCCTTACGGAGAAAATAATATGTGTTAGACACGCTTTGTTCAAGCACCAGTTTTAGTGCTGGTGGCTGTGAGTTCCATGCTAACGAGAACTTTCAGAGAAGAGGAGAGGAAATTCACCAACCTGTATATGAGACAGGAACGGACTATGCTGAAGTAAAATCTGTGATGTGTGATGAAGCCCTGGAAATGACGAAAAAGCAGCTAGATCTGCAGATTTATTAAAAAAAAAAAAAAAAAAGTAATGAGCTGCATTGTTGTGAAACTGAAAGCCAAAGAAATTTACAATCGTGTTTGTCAGGGCCAAGAGAGTTAAAACCCTTCTTGGCTAGTGCTGGCTGCCTCTTAAGGCTCAAAATGCCACACAGCATGAGAACAGTTAAAAACTTACAGGTGAGGCAGGTTCCGGAGGTGCAGAAGAATTTTGTTTTAAGTTTATTTATTTTGAGAGAAAGAGCGAGAGCACGAGTGGGGTTGAGGGGAACAGAGAGAGAGAGAGAGAGAGTATCCCAAGTAGGCTCCAAACTGTCAGCACAGAACCTGATGTGGGGTTTGAACCCACAAATTGTGATTCCATGACCTGAGCTGAAATCAAGAGTCGGTAGCTCAACCGCCTGAGTCACCCAGGTGCCCCAGAAGAATTTTAAAAATACCTCTTTGTGTTATACAGGAAAAGAGTTCTGTGGGTGAGCAGGTTTCCAGCATTGATGGGATGGGCTTTATTTATTTTTTTTATTTATTTATTTTTAACAAGGACATGGGCAAACAAACCTGTGTTTGTTGAGGCTCGTGGGAACCTAACCCCATATTCCCCGTAGGACCCATAGTTTAGTACTTGCTAATTCTGGGTGCACGGCAATTTTATGTAACTGCCACAATGATGCGGGTTGACTGTATAGTCTTTGCTGTAACTGGTTAGCTCCCGAGTTCCATCCTTCATTGGACATGCTGTGCAGCACAGCTACAGAGCATTAGCATTCAGTGTCCACACCGTTCAGACCGTTCTTGGTAGTCATGCTTGAGAATATGATGGACCACGCCCCCCCCCCCCCCCCCCCCCCCCCCCCCCCCCGCCATTGTCCGTGTATATTTCCAAACACAGCACTGTGCGTGAAGAGTCTAAAGTCAAGGAAGAGAAGTCTGGTTTGGTTTTGTTTTTGAGATACGTTGCCCTTGAGAGTTAGATCGTCTGGTCCCCAAATCCTTAAAAGTCAGCACAGACCCACCAAGAAAGCCAGCATATAATTAATGTTCCAAGCAGATGTCAGGCCACTCCCTGGGGCTGGATCATAACACATCCAAGAGTGAAAATAACACAGACTCTGTGTCTTTTGAGAAGCTTGTTAAAAATTAAAAGAAATTTTTTTTAACATTTATTCATTTTTGAGAGACAGAGTATGAGTAAGGGAGAGGCAGAGAGAAAGGAAGACAGAGAATTTGGAACAGGCTCCAGACTCTGAGCTGTCAGCACAGAGCCCCATACGGGGCTCAAACCCATAGACTGTGATGTCATGACCCGAGCTGAAGTCAGACACTCAACCAAGTGAGCCACCCAGGTGCCCCTAAAAAATTTTTTTAATGTTTATCTGTTTTCGAGAGAGAGAGAGAGAGAGAGAGAGAGAATGCATGAGTAGGGGAGGGGCAGAGAGAGGGAGACACAGAATCCGAAGCAGCTCCAGGCTCTGAGTTGTCAGCACAGAGCCTGACATGGGGCTCGAACTCACAAACTGTAAGATCATGACCTGAGCTGAAGTCGGACGCTTAACTGATTGAGCCCCCCCGGCGCCCCTTGAGAAGCTTTTTAACCTCTGTTCAGGATATTAAGTTGTTCCTAAAATGTCTCTGGACTAGGAGACCCAGCGACACACAAATCCAGCCTGAGACCAGTCACTCCCCTCTGTAAGATCCTTGTGAGAAATAGAAAAATAAAAAAGAAGGAGCGTTTTCTTATTCTGTAGCATTGACCCCAACCATGGGTTCTCAGGCTCCACATGCTTCATTAGAATGGCCCGGGGTGGGGGCCTGACCATGTGTTGTTTATTCTTTTCGAAGCCTCCCTGATAATTCTGACTCATATCCTTAATAGACAACTACTGCCCTGGAATGAATCATGAAGAACTGTTGAAGAATCTTAACTGGGTAATGGACGTGATCAGACTTAAATTGAAATGAGTCCAGTAGCAACATGGAAGAATCGGACACAGAGAGGAAAGGACAGAGGATGTTCTTAATTAGGGAGAGTGCTCAGCTCAGGTCACCTTTGGAGCTGTTAAAATAAACCCACCCCAGATCCCGTCATCCTTTCTCCTCCCCCCAGCCCCCCCAACCGGGCATTCCATTTCTGTGGGTCACAGCCTGGGGCTCTGAACCTGTGAGCCGTGGAGAGGCTCCCCAGGCGGTTCTGAGGCTTGAGTACGATTAAGAACCGCGACTCTAGCAACTGATCTAAAAGTCACCAGAGTAATAGCAGACATCCTCTGTCATACAGAAGCCCTCGGCCTCACAGCGGTACAGGGCATTCAGGACAATAGTGTGCGACCGTCAGGGTGGCCGAGAGTGAGTGTCATAAATGTGACGGCTGTTTAGATCTTCCCAGAGCACTGCATGGGTTTCCCACCTGTCACCCTACGGTCTGACCTAACGGAACACCACTTGTTTCCCACGCCATCCCGTTTTCTCTGTCGGAAGATCCTCCGGTTTCTAGCTGCCAGTTTTCGGGGTGCTAAGGATGGAATTTATAGCAGAATGGATGGATCTTAAGTCGGGAGCTGCTCCCTTGCTACCTAGCTTGCTTTCTCTCAAGAGTCTTGCGCCTTTTCCAACACTCTGACCTGTTCATTTCCAGGCAACGTGATGAAGCTGGAGGAACAGAAGTCAGACCTGGAAAGGCAGCTAAAGACGCTGACTAAGCAAATAAAGGTGAGCTGTGGCCCCAGCAGGGGACGCGGAGCCGTCTCTGTCATTTTACTGAGAGGGTCCCCGCCTTAGCTTTGGAAACCTTTGGAAAGCATCCCGATGACTCTCCCAGCCTGCATCCCGGAGTTCCTTCCCACGGCACGGGTCCTGGCACCAGCGATTAGCGTTGGCAGGGGACACAGTTAAGCAGGCTGCAGGGTGGGTGCGCTCTGGTAACACGAGGGTGTGACTGCCCGCCTGTGCTGAGCGTCGTCCCCGGTAGCGAGGCAGCTACCTGGCCGGTCCTTCTCGGTGACTGACGCGGGGGGGAGGGCCCGGAGCCCCACGTGCCAGGCCCGGCCGGCAGGTGACGCGGGTGTGGACCCCGCCCTTGCAGGAGGAGACGGAGGAGTGGAGGCGGTTCCAGGCGGACCTGCAGACCGCGGTGGTGGTGGCCAACGACATCAAGTGCGAGGCGCAGCAGGAGCTGCGCACCGTGAAGCGGAGGTTGCTGGAGGAAGAGGAGAAGAACGCGAGGCTGCAGAAGGAGCTGGGGGACATGCAGGGCCACGGCAGGTTGGTCACGGCGGAGCCATGCGCTCATGAGTCTGGTGGGCGCCCGCGTAGCTTGGCTTCTCTCGTAATCGCCATGCATGAGCCTTCGCCGTCTGGAGACATGGCGCTTGGATGTCTCTCTGTGCAAAACCTTTATTTTTTCTGTCAGCGCACTCCCCTGCCACCGTCACCGTCACACAGCCTAGGAATGGTCCGTCTGCGGTCCGGTCACCGCCCGGGCTCTGGACCAAGGCCGTGAGAAACCTCTTGGCTCACGTAGAACGTTCTAGCCGAGTGTCCTCCTACATTTAAAGAGTAGAAACATGTCTAGGACGCCCCTTAAATCTCAGGGCTCACTTTAGCGAGCCAGGGCAACACCTGGCACGGGTGGCTCTCAAGCCATGGGAAAAGCTGGGTCACCCTCCAGGGGAACTGCCACCAGATAAGGGACTCATTCCTCATGGCCCGGAGACATGCATCCCTCTTGGTAACTTCCATGGGCCACTGAAATAGCCCGCTTTATCAGCAAAGATAAGCATGGCAAACGCAACATGGCTGGCTGGTAACTGACTTCCCTTTTCTGTGCCTGAGGGAGGGAAGTCACAGTGTAAAGCCCCAGTAAGCTCTCCTTAAGCGACGTTTCAGAGGAAGGTATTCCTAAAGGAAGGAGCTCAAAGTAAGTATCATTTAAAATTTAAACTGTTTACAAATAAGTTTACAAACAGTACTTTAGACTTTTTTTTTAATGTTTATTTTTGAAACAGAGTATGAGCGGGGGAGGGGCAGAGAGAGAGGGAAACCCAGAATCTGAAGCAGGCTCCAGGCTCCGAGTTGTCAGCACAAAGCCCGATGTGGGGCTTGAACCCATGAACTGTGAGATCATGACCTGAGCTTAAGTTGGACGCTTAACCGACTGAGCCACCCAAGCGCCCCTATGCTTTTACTAAAGGCTTTAACCTTTGCCCAGTCAGGAGTAAAGGTCCCTAACTTTGGGATTCTTGGATATTAGGAAACTATTTGGAATTTCGAGATGCCTTTGAAATATGAAATGTAGCATTTTAAAATCAGATTTAGTGGGTCCTGAGTGCTGATGTGTACAGTTTGCTTTTCTTACGTGTTTTCTGGGATCTAGAGGGTTTGGTCACTGGCTAGATTCTGAGCCTTTGGGTCTGATGTACTGCCGTGAATTTCACGACATGGGAAAAAGTAGATTTTTTTCTCAGAATTCTGTTTTGATTCTCTTCCCAAACTTGCCCCAGTCTCCCTCCCCGCTTTGTTGATGACTTTTACAGGAAACAGGCTGTAGAGAAGGATTCAGGTGCACTGTGTGTAGCTCGTTTCATGATTCACGCTGGAAAATCAAGGTGATGATTTTATAGTAACACCTCTTCCCTGTGGCCGCCAGCGTGTGTGAATGTTACCTTAAGGAGGAAGACAGGAAGACTAGACTTGATAGTGTTGACATGATCGTGAGGTCCTCTGGCCTGCTTCTGTGCTTATGTTTATTTGTCCATTTGTCTTGCTTTTACAATGTGTCTTTTAAAGAGGAACCAGATCATAACTTGCGTTGCTTCATACATACATTATCTTACGTTATCTTAAAGGCAAATGGTAAGAGGCGAGCTCTGGGTTTATATACCAGCCCTAAATAAGTTATTGCGTGAGCTGCTGCATTTCTTACCTAGATTCTGAGACACAGGCCAGATTGTACAACTTGAACTCTGATACCATAAGGAATCTCCGCATGCATCTTGATGATTTAGGATCCATATACGATATCCTACATCTTCAAACTTAGGGTCGCTTTTTTTTTTTTTTAAATAGACACTATGTGTATATCTCTTTTGATTTTCTAGTGATTTACAAACCTCCCACCCAGATCTAGCAGTTTGATCCCCTGTCACAAAATATTTCAAAACTGTAGAGCCGCCACCAGCCCAGAACATGGCAAATCACTGAACTCTGCGGGCATCAGTGTCCTTCTTGCCCGTCACTGTGTCGGGCAGGCTTCAGACAGTGGCCGTTGCTGCCTTCTTAATTGGATTCTGAAGACTGGCCCTTCCAGGGAGTTGACTCTTTGAAAGGTATTCGCTGACAGCCCAGCCACTTCCTGAACTTCCCCCCCACCCACCCCCCAGCAAGACTTGAAACGAGCTCACACCCTCAAAGGTCCTGAAGCGACATCGTGTTTCCATCTATGGGTTCTTGACTGAAACTCGATTTGACTTTGCCAGTCACCTAATGGGAACTCGAAAGTCATTCTCAGCTCAGCCACAGCCAAAGAACTTGCAGCAAGTTCTCTGATGAGGCCCTCCAAGCACAGCCGAGAGAAGGTAAGAGCGTCTGAAAAGCGCCTCCATACTACCATGGGATTAAGTGATTTGCATTCTCATTTTGCAAACATGGGCATTGGAAGGGACAGAATGAGGCTGGTAGGTGGGCAGAGGAAGGGCTGGGTGTGGAGACAAGGTAGCCTTTATTACCAGGAACTCAGGAGCAGACACAGAGCGGAACAGTATTTAACCCAGTGTTTTTGATCATTCTACAAACTAGCTCATTAGCAATTTCCAGTCCTATTACGTTTTCGAGGAATTTTGATTCTGGAGTCCGAATAAACCGATGTGAAGATAGATAGGAACAAAGCTCTAGTCTTGTCTTTGCCGCACTTGGCAAGGTTTCCTTCCCAGACTGAGCTCCTCCGCCCCTCAAAGCAGGAGATAAGCGTGGCTCGTGATTTAAGGCCCTTGTGACCTCTTGTGTTCTCAGCTGGCCCTTCCCTGATTGGGGGGGGGGGGGTGTCAGCAGCTCGTGTACCAACAGTGCCATCTGCCCAAGGCAGTCCTTGGGATCTCCCAGACACAGTGACGTCTCTACATTTCAGCTGGGCTCTGGGCCTCCCCAGTCTCTTCCAGAAACTGTAAGCCAATGTAGGTCTTTTTTTTTTTTTTCTTTTTTTTCTTTTTTAGTTTATCTATCTCTTGTGAGAGAGACAGAGACAGCATGAGTAGGGAGGGGCAGAGAGAGAGGGAGAGAGGGAACCCCAAGTAGGCATCACAGAGCCCAACGTAGGCCTCGACCCCACGAACCGTGAGATCATGACCTGAGCCGAAGTCAAGAGCCGGATGCTTAGCCAAACTGAGCCACCCAGGCGCCGCTGTACAAGCCAGGGTAGTTCTTAGGGGCGCGGAAGTTATTTGTTCTGCTGGGCATTTGTCAGTTAACAGATGAAAGGATACATGGATAACTTTTCCAACTCTGGCCTCTTCCAGCTTTGAGTCATTAAGAGCAGGACGTTAAAATTAAAACTTTCATTGAAATTAAAACATCACGCCCTTTTTCCGGAAAAGTCGAGACCTGGCGCCGGGCCTCCAGATACAGAGAACACACACGCAGCCCCACGTAGTGACTTGATGGGCCACACACAGACTTTCTTCCTTTTTTTTTTTTTAATTTTTTTTAATGTTTTATTTATTTCTAGGAGAGAGAGAGAGAGAGACAGCGTGAGCAGGGGAGGGTCAGAGAGAGAGGGAGTCACAGACTGAAACAGGCTCCAGGCTCTGAGCCAGCAGTCAGCACAGAGCCCGACGCGGGGCTCGAACCCACGAACCGCGAGATCATGACCTAAGCGAAAGTCGGACGCTTAACCGACTAAGCCACCCAGGCGCCCCCACACACAGCCTTTCTAATGAAGGGACATTGTTGACAAGCAGCGTGTGGCACAGGCTTCTCCTACAGTAACAGGGAAAGACCTATCCGTTTTTTTCTCTTACTCTGAAACAGTAAAGGCCGTTGTTTTTAGGGTGACTTACTCGGTTTTTACTATATGTTTATCACATGACCCCAGGAAGCATCTGTGGACGACATCTTAAAAAGAGACCATTAAAAACACTAAACAGCTGTGTCTCGTGAACCTGAGATTCCGAACGTGTCTAGCTTGTACCGCTCACTGGCTCTTGCGTTGTCACCTCTGCCGCGAGCAGCGTGGTGGCATATTATCACCGCCAGACTCTCTGGAAGTGGCTCTAACTCTGTGTGCACAGTGTTTCCTGCCCTAACGTCCGTCGCGTGCCTGTGCCGCCCTTTGTGTTCCCACCGCTGTGACCTGTCCCAGCCGCTCAGGGGGTGGGGGAGGGGTCCTGGGGCTATTATTATTATCACTGAAAAGCAGAGAGCGGGGGTCACTGAAACATTCTCTCCGGTTCTCTTGTTGCTGCTGCTACTTGGACACAGCCTCCCTGGCCCCGCCAGAAGGGTGGCCAGTTCTCGTGGGGGTTCCTCAGCAGGTTCCAAGCACCTGGGACAGGCAGGGGCCTGTGGCACATCTGTGGCCTTCGATATGCAAACTGGCCTTTGGGACCCCAGCACAGCCCTTCCGCTCCTCGTGTTTTCATGGCTGGAATTTGCATCTGTGGCATTGGATACGCAGCCTAGAATCCTAAAGAGCAATGTCTGCTTCCCTAACCCCCACCTTTTTTTTTTTTAATGTTTATTTATTTTTGTGTGTGAGAGAGTGTAAGCGAGTGGGGGAGGGGCAGAGGGAGAGGGAGGCAGAATCCGAAGCAGGCTCCAGGCTTGGAGCTGTCAGCACAGAGCCCGATGCAGGGCTCGAACTCACGAGCCGTGAGATCATGACCTGAGCCGAAGTTGGACGCTTAACCGACTGAGCTGCCCAGGCGCCCGCCCCCCAACCCCATCTTTACCGAGTTGCTTTGAAAAGTGTGGACATGAGCTTTCCCTAGATCTTTAGGACTTTTATGCCTTAATAATAACAGAAATCCTTTCTCTTTTTTTTGGCCTTGACTGTAGGGCAGTAGAGGAAGGCACGAACCACCACCGCCTCCTGGCGGTCTCTGCTTCCCCAGCACAGCCGCCTGTTGGTGAAGGTCTAGTGAGAGGAGCCTGGTGGTGGTGTTTTGAAGTCTCCAGCATGCTCTCTGCCTGAAGACCTTTGACTTCCAAAACTGTTAGAGGCACAGGAATTGAAACATGTTGGTCCTGTTCTAGATTACCCACATTTCCCT